AGAAGATAAATCATGACAGCACTAGCAGAGATTAAACTAAACATGCAAAATAGCATAGTAGATGAACATATCACATCTAGGGCACATACTAGGAACATAAACTCTACCACGATCTCGAACAAGAAGGATAGAATCACATATGGTGCAGTGGGAGCAGCACCGCCGGCGTTGATGTTGTCGCCCATGTTGTTGAGGATGAGGTTGTCGAGGTCGGGGAAGAAGTCGTCGCTGCCAGCAGTCGGGCGAGTGCGCTCGCCAAAAACCTGATCACCCCTCTCCCGTACAGGATCACGAGTGGCGGGGTTCCGGAGGCCTGCTATTCCTTCTCGCGGTGCACGCCGAAAGGAGGGATGAAGAAGACTTGTGTGGCAGCACAATGATCTGGAATGGTGGTGCGAAACCATACGAAGTGGCGGCGGCTAGGGTAGACGTGCTCGGCTCGGCTCAATCCTGCAACCCGTGGCGCGTCGTGGTGAGGCGTGGCGAGGCGAGCGAGGAGGAGGAGCACGCGTGTAGGTCTCCTCTTCTCATGCTCATACAAGTGGTAGAAGAGCTCACCTTATAAAGAGGTGCAACTTCCTCTCAACTTTCAGGGTGGGACTAAACTTAAGTCCCACTCACATCACTCACATGTGTGCATGAATGAGCCAAGAGAATTTCAGAATTTTAGTTGGGCTTTGGGTCAAAAGACTACTAGCAAAATTCCAACAATCCCCGAGCAGTCTGCTCCGGCAGAACATTTAATCTGGACCATTTATTTGTGTGGCAGACCCTTGATCTAATACGGACTGTTAAATGTGATTTAGTTAGATTGATCTAACGTCTCGGATAATCCTGTGTACAGTTTGTGGTGTGTCTCTAGGTGGATTCATGTTTGCTCTTTTAATAATAGTATAGATATAGATGAACACCAATATCGCCAACCCTGCATCTTATCAATTGTGAGTTCCAGGGAGCAATCACCGCGCGCGTCTATATCTAGTTTCTAGAGACTTGTAGCTTATTGTCAACCACATTGGGCCGGTCAACACTTCGGCCCCCCATCCAGGTGCTGAGCCGCTTTAGCCCCTCTTTTTTTCAAGAGCGTTATATGCATTGTAGTCCGTAGAATAGCTAAGTACTCATCTCATGTACTCCATCTTCCCAGAATATAAGGTGCGGTTGACTTTGCACAGTCTTTGATGCACTACTTTGGCCATTGATATAGTACCATCGTATTTGTCTTGCGAAAAATTATGTTTCATATGTCTTTATAATAATTTTGTAGGGATAAAATCAGTGAAAGTAATAGTCAAAATTATGTGATGAAGACTAAAAAAGTCAACCTGTGCCTTATATCTTCGGAAGGAGGAAGTACACCAGTATAAAAAAAAATAGAGTTCCCAGTACGTAGCCTTCTGTTAGAAATGGAATTTAGATAAAAATTATAGTTTGCACACCTTGAATCCAAAAACATCACGTAAGTGACATAAGCTATTCTTTTACTTGAATTAAAAATTAAAATAAAAATGTTAAACTATTTAAAACTAAATATTCATGTGTCTTGAGAAATTATTCTGATGACACATAACTTTTTTTGTACAAAAATAAAACTGTAAACATGTACAATACCGCAAAAAATGGTGTGCACCTAGATAAGGAAAATGTTTACACGACTTAATAAAATATTCTCCAGATCACACAAAATGTTACAAGTAAAAAATATTCATGCACATGAAATTAAACATCCGTGCATGTCAAAATTAATGTCGTGCATATGAAAAGAAGTGTATTTAAAGTATTCATTTTCTATTTTTAAAATATTTATGGTGTATTTGAAAAATGTTAATTGTATATTTGAGAAAAAAAATTATCATGTATTTAAACATATTCATTGTGGATTTAGAAATGTCCTTCATGTATTAGAATTTTTTTTCGTTTGCATTTTTTTCCTCTGATTGAAATTGTACCCTTCCTCATAAATGATGTAACTGTTATTTTCAATGAAAGAAGTTTTGGTGTTTTGTTTCAAAACATTAATGATGATGCGATCCGCTTTCACCACGTGAGCAAGCCGAGTGAGTTTTGCTTATTTTTTAGCATCCCAAGTCATTTGAATATTGTTGGAATGTATGATTATTATCTTCAAAATAGGAACATCTCATGACATTTGAACATTTTTTCATATATAAAAATATTTTGGAAATATATTAACATCTATTTTAAATTAAATAAATACGTTTGTCATTCTGACGCCTTACTATCGTTCAATACCCACAATTGCATAGCCACCTCTTGGCTAAGATTTCAAGTCATGTTATCCCTTCTCACACCTAGAAAATACCTCAAGTACCCCTCATACTTACCACCTCAAGGCCAGTTAACCTATACAAGCCCTATGCACGGGCTGAACTCCATTTACTCTCACTCGAATAAACTCAAGGGATGAGGCAGGCCATCCAAGAAACCAAGTAAGCTTGGAGCCAGGCAGGTATCGGGATCAGAGAGAGCTACTAAGGCCCATGTCATACAGTTCTACGACTGAATATTTTCATTGCATTGGTTGGACCAAATTACTCTTCTAAGAAGTATGCTTCAATCTCGACAATTGATTTGCATGGGAAGCCACAAACTGTTTTAGTCAAAGTCCATTTTTTTTTGTCAAAAGTCCTCAACGTTGGAAAATTTCAATCAACATCAAGTAGAAATTTCCATTTGGTGCTTTCCCAAAATACAAACTGAAATAAATGATTTTAAAAAGTCAGTTGTGTCTAAAATATTTTTGTAACCGAGATTAGAAAGCATGCTTACATTTGTGCTTCTGACTTACTAGTAAGCTTGCACGTGCAACACACGTCTCTGCTTATGCTCTTTTCAAAGATACATCCACTCCCAATCAAATACACCTTGTGTGCATGTCTCATACTACCGTATACTTATAGTTATAGTTGTTGATGGTAGTATAAGATGACACACACAAAAAAACAGCCAAGGTAGCATTCATCATATAGGCCCGAAACCATGTTTTCAGGTTCGTACATCTACCAAGAGATAGGTTCAAAGTTGTTGTGGGCGGGGAGAGCCTCTGGTGGTGGTGGTGGTGGTGAGGTAGGGGCTAGGTGGAGAGGAGGGAGCGGGGGTGGCTCAAATTTTGCCGAGTGGGTTGCGGCCTTGGCGGCGATGTGGTGGCGATTCGAGTAGGGAAGCTCGAAGCTCGAGCTTGGGGAGTTCCAGGGATGGAGAGGAGGCTGCGGGTGAGATTGGGTGACTCGGGGAGGGCTCGGCCTTGGCTTATATAGCCGGCCGAAGCGGAGGGGATGAGGACGACCGTCGTGGCGAGCTTATCTCCATCCTATGACTCCGGCGAGGTGGCAAGCGGGGAGAGGTGCCGACCTGACAACGCCAGAGAGAGGGGACGGCTCGGGGAGGAAGGATCCAAGGAGGAAGGTGACATCTCGAAGGTCACGGGCGAACAATGGCTGCGGCGGCGCTCGCCGTGGCGCGAGAAGGAAGAAGGGTCCAGAGCGTCGACATGGATGCCGCTGAGCCGTTGGACATGCCGTTGATCGAGGGAACCCTGAACAGCTTCTGGACAAAAGGTGCTTGTAGTGGGTTCTGGATATATCACTCGGTAAAATGAGTTGAGATTTGGCATGGAGCAATAATCTACTAGGGTGAAGGCTCTGGTAAAATTTGAGGCCATTTGGATAAGAATTGAGGACACTTGCTGTAGAATGGACCCCACTGGTCATAATTGAAGATGTTGATGCTTTGCTCAAATGGCTGAATTAAATGAGATGAAATTTGGTCGAGGGGAGTTATTTGGATACATTAAGCCACTGTAAAATTTTCATACCATTTGGGTACACCAAAATGGTACTTGCTTCACAGAGGTTCCAAATGTACAGAAACTTAGGAAAAAAATGATGGGGATGAATGGGTTGATGGATTGAACTGGTTTTTTTGTTTCCATGAGTGATTTTTCAATGTTAATCACCATGAAAAATTTCAGCTCAAATAGATCAAGGAATAAAACACTTCCTTTGCAATTTGCCCAACTGGACAAAATCTGCAAATTGATGTAGTGCTCAAACTTTGAACTATGGAACTTGGTTACTTGATAAAAATGGTGAAGATATGGATAGGATAAGCTCCACAATTTATTTGGGATTTTTCCTGGCTACCAAAATGGTAGTTTCTTTAGAAAGGGCCCAAAATGCAATATTGACATTAAATAAGAAAATGCAATTTCCCTTATTTAATTATGGCCAATATTTTTATGAGAGCTCAATATGGTCACAAAGAATATCTCCACAAGTTTTCATGAACTTTGGACATGGATAGATATCTTCCTGGATTTAATTCCTTTAGCTGCAGAAAAAGGAATTAATTATAAATGAAAAATATTTCAAATGACTTGGCAATATTTTTGCATATTCTGGTTTTACAAAGATAGGATGATCACTGGGAAAAGTTTGGGAAGCAACAGAGCAAAGGAAACCGGGGTTCCTTTGTAACTGAAGAGTTAATTAGGGTTCCCTTCCGGTAACTCGAAAGGTGGGGTTTCGGGGGCGAGGTCCGGAGAATATATCTTGGGTGGCAAGGTTTGACTGGGGAGAATCTCTGGTTGGATAGGAAAGGCAAGGCTAAATGACCATCTTCATATACCCAAGAGCTAGAGAAATCCGATAACATCAAGAAAAAAGACGGGAGTCAAATCCCGTGAAGGAAAAAAAAACAGGAGCGAAAACCAGGGTGTTACAGAGAAAGCACGCCGAGACCATCAGACAAATCTCGACCACCCTGCCACCGGCGCTTGGACCATCCCTCTCGTGATCTCATGTCTAGCCTACCAGCTTTTGTCTAGTCTATTTTGGCTACCCCGTGGTGCCTTTATATATTAGGCCTGGCTTACACGTGTTCGACTCAGACACCTAACCCTCTGCTAATTATAAGTCCAACAATATTAAAACTCTATACACACATATTCGACACAATTCTAACATGACTGATGCCTACATCTAGTGTGATACACCATCATATGACATCCACTCTTGCTCAAAGCTATAACACGTTTTTATGTTTTCAGATGGAGAATTAGCACTGGCACTGGAATCAGCAGCAACCACCTGATCAGGGCTATCATTGTCACTTGTTGGATTTAGAAATCGTTCCTTCTCTTTTCCATTTATTGAATCAATACGGTACAATTTTAACCTTTCTGTTTGCAAAGCCCGCAAAGCCATCTCCACGTGTTTCATGGTAGGTCTATCCTCACCTCGGAGCCTCAGGCACATCTCTGCAAGGGAAGCTACGCTGCTAATCTCTTCCTCGGTTGCTTCATCAAGAACTTGGACAACTACTATTTCTGTAATCCATCTTGCTTTTAACACCAAAAGAAAATGCTTTGATAAGTTTTGCTTCGAGCCTGATTCACTTGTGAATATTGGCTCTTTCCTAATAAGTAGCTCAATGAGTACCACACCAAAGCTGTAGACATCACTTTTCTCATTCAAGTGTCCAGTGTAGTAATACTCTGGATCCAAGTACCCAAACGTCCCTTGTACATTCGTTACAATGTGAGTTTGGTCAATAGAAACTAATCTCGAAGCCCCAAAATCAACAACTTTAGCTGTGTAGTTTCCATCCAAGAGTATATTGGATGATTTCACATCACGATGGAAGACCGGTATCGAAGCTGCGGAATGGAGATATGAGAGAGCTCCTGCTGATTCCGCAGCAATCCTTATGCAGTCAGCCCAAGATAAACAACTAGTGATGGAATTAGAATGAAGAATACCAAACAATGATCCATTGGGGATAAAATCATACACTAACAGAGGTACCTCGGTCTCAAGACAACACCCAAAGAGCTTTACGATGTTTCTGTGGTTTATCTGAGAGAGGATGGCGACCTCATTGATGAATTGATTGATCTCACCTTGATCAATGACCTTAGACTTTTTTATGGCCACTACCCTTTGGTCGGATAGTATGCCTTTGTAAACCATGCCGTGCCCTCCATGTCCAACGATACGTGTTTGATGGAAATTGTTTGTTGCCTTTTCTAGCTCTCCAATTGAGAAAATCCTTGTCGTTTCACTTGCATTTTCATCCAATGATATAAGATGTTCTAAAAGAAGACCCTGGTTTTTCCTAAAATATTTCCTCCGTAACTGGCTTTGGATGTATCTTTTCCATCTGTGTATAATGAAAACACCACTCATGCTGAGAAGTAGAACCCCAAAGCCACTGCCGAGCCCAATGATAATACCTGAAAATATTTAAACGCCTCTTAGCTAGTGTATTGCATTATTTTATTTTGCTTACCAGCAAATGTGATGGATATACAAAATTCACCTAAGAGAAGGTTTTTTCTTTTTGTTGAAGTACATTGCATTGTTGTACTATCATAGTCCATTTTATCTAGACACTTGCTGCAATAGTAGCTTCCCGTAGTATTATGACAAACCTCTTCACATATATCTCTTGTATTCTTGCACTCATCAATATCTGCACCCACATCTCATGTAGGTTAGACCCGTTAGAGGTAAATTTATTATACATTTGAGAGAGCTAATTGGTAGGTGATTATTTTGTACAGAAGGTTGTAATGGATATTTTTTGTTTCTAGTGTTTGAGAGAGAGTACCTTGACAACCTTTTCGGACATATGGATTTCCTTGAAATCCCCGTGAGCATTTGCAGCGATAACCATAGAAACCATCCATTGTAGAGTTGACAACTAAGAATGTGCTATTGATGCTGACACATGCATTACTAGGCATGTCCATCAGTGCCTCCTGGCAGGTTAGGTTAGAGACTGCCCATTGCACCGATGATGTTCCCCAAGGACCCATATAGAGATTAGGTTCTTCATCAATGTTAATTTTAAACGCCTCCTGTTGGTAATATGCCATGAATTTAATATCAACGGTCCCCTCGTCAAGATTTATGTGCGTCACTTGATATCCATCATCTTTCATTTGGAGTGTAGAGGTCGTCACATTAGTGCAATTGAGCTAGAATATCTTCCTAGCAAAACAACCTTCCTCCAGGCCAAATGAAAATGGGATGTCAATGTTCCCACATCGTCGGGTGCAATTTGCCACTCGTTGAATTGGGTTGTATCCTATTTTTGCACAAAAAAAGTTTCTTTAGATAAAATGTAGTATGCCACGTTGTGTTTAACGTAACCAACCGAATTAAAGACATAATTTCGCAAGTGGATCCTACACTATGCCCATTATTTGGACCCTTTGTATCATTGGGAACTATTTTTGTAAGACAAAGTTAACCTACCTAGCTTTTCCTTTTGTGCGCCATTTATTAAAATTTCCACAAATTAGTGAAACTTTAGAAATGAAAATTGATGAATTTTCCCAGGATCCAAATATCCTCTATTGTTTAATGTTAGCATTTTTCTTTAATATATGCAAAAAATTGATATAATTGTTTCGTAAATTGTTTTATATGTTACCACTATTAGTTGTTTAACATTAGCGCCCTATAGTCCCTGAGCTCGTAAAAAATGAAAAACATTATCTGAAAAAATGCATCAATCAAATCAATCATATTTCCCTCATTCAATGGATGACAACGTGGTAATTCCTAGCAACTTAAGAGGTGAACGGATCGCCACCAACTCATTTATAAGAGTAAAGATAAAGATAAAGATATGAGATCCACATTTAATTGTTGGTATGGCTGGTTTGGATAGTTAGGATGCCTTGTTGAACTTTAAACGACCATTACAATATTTTTCACATGCAATAGGATAATAAATTTAGCCATAAATAAATCAGTAGGTATCGAATCCAATTTCAGTTTGAGTTAGAAATCAATCATTCTCCTTGTGAGTTGTGTTTGTCAGCACTCATCCTAAAAACTTTTCTGCATCCCTATGATTTTTAAAAGTTTTTTAGAAACTCTCTAATTTTTATATTGATATCCGTAGAAAATTGTAACCATAAATAGTCATCAAATCTGTCCATCTATGTGGCTAGTAATTTTTTGAAATCAATAGAAAATCATGATTTTTTTTCTGAAATATGGACAAAGATTCATATTTATACATCCCCTCACAAAAGTTCGGATCGAAATAACTTACTGAGAAAAAGAAAAGACAAATAATACCATTAATAGTAGATAATCCAAATTCTACTATTCACGGCAGAGTTTGTCATTTTTTTTCTTTATATATGCATGGATTCCCTTTTTTTTTTGGAAGTGTAAGTCTCAAGCAAGTCCAAGGCAAGTAGAAGAATCTTTCTAAGAATCCTCTGAAACTTGGATTTGAATATTTCCGGCATGAAAGATACATTTTTTCATTCTTGTGACGGATGTGTTCATTTTGTAAGATTGTAACTATCCACCTTTGAAAGTAGATTTTATACTAATCGTTGTTCCCGTGATGATATACAAAGTGCACAGTCAAACTTGCTGAAATTTTCTCATGAGAGGATATTTGTTAAAAATTAAATAAAAAAAATGAAGGTTACCTTTGTCGCGCGAGCAGCCGTCGGGGACATAGGGATTGCCTACGTACCCGCCGTTGCAGGAGCACGAGTAGCCTCCATCTATGAAGGGGCTATCGGTGCAGCTGCTCTGGTTGCTGAGGCAGGCGTAGGTGGCTGCGTCTCCCTCAGCGTCGACACATCTTGGCCTATCTACCACATTCCACTGCAGGTTTGCATAGTCCGTTATCACGCTGATTTTGTTCCATAGGGAACTTGTGTGGTGGCCCCTGCTTTCCTTCAAATCTGAACTGAAATCCATGGTGGTTGTACCAAAATGGGACGGAGCAACACCAGGTGCCATTGCAGTCTTGCCTGGCCATCGTCTCCGTGACCTCGATGCCGGAATTGTGGCTGGCGACGACCTCGGTGATGCCGTTGCGCAAGAAGAGCCTGGTGGTGCCGCCGCCGCTGTCGACACAGGTCAGGTTGAAGTCGGGGTCGCGGAAGCAGCTGGAGCCGATGCCGAAGGGGTAGGCGAAGCTCAGATTGCCGCATGTCTTCGGACACCTGCCGAGCATGGCCATGGACGGAACAACAAGATTGCTCTCGTCATACGGCCGGCCACTTGTCGCTACGGCGCCCGATACTCTTGTTGTCCGCGCCCCTAGCAACGCGAGCAAGAGCACCAAGCAGCAGCACTTCATTCGTACCTCTCGGTATGCTCTTATCTGTTTTAATTAGCAGTAGTATGTTCTAATGAATCAACATCATTTTTAAACTTGCACCCCTTATTTATAGGCCTAGAGCACATTACATAGGGCCATAGGGGGGCAGTACATACGTACGTGCAATTATTGACTCTACGACGTACTACCAGCCACGACTGACCGGATCCCGAGCAGCCCAACATGGAAGGTCTTTACGGTGAAAGGTAACACGATCATTATTAAAGTTATCCATCTCTTTGATCCGAGACTAGGAAAATGGGATGAAGGTCTTTGGCACGAGTCGGCAGTGCCCCAACACGCTGAAGACATCTCACACGGGAAGATCCATCTGGTTCTACGGTCCTGGAACACGTCTTGTGGCTAGCTTTGAAAATTTTACCGGGGTTTATTTTGGCTTACAAGAAATAGTGACGGTGGCTTGTTGGTACTTGTGGTGGATGCATCAACCAGTTTTTTTGACGTATAATGTGTTGCCTAGTCTCTTCCGTCGGTTTTTTGGTTGCATTGGTTAGAGCATACACTTCTACATGGTATCAGAGCCAAGAGGTTTTGAGTTTAAGACCCGGCTGACGCAATTAAATTGCAGCCCATTTTTGGTCCATGTTTAGGCCTGAGGGAGCCACACGTGAGGGGGAGTGTTGACATATAATGTGCTGCCTAGTCTTTTCCATCAGATCGCTCTTTTGGTTGCATTAGTTAAAACATGCACTTCTACAAGTTTTGTCAGTTACCCCACATACGGCTAAGATCAGGAATACGAAGCCTGACACTAGCAAAATGAACGCTGATACTGCCTCTTCACTGAAGATGAAGGTAAGCGTTCTGTTGGTGCTATACTTAGAGATGCCCATGGTTCTTTTCTAGCTGCCTCGTGTGTTGTTGTCCCCTATGCGGAGAGCGTGGTGACGAATGACGATGGAGGAATTGGCGACGAAGCATGCATGGCCTCCAGCTCGCGGTGCAACGAGACGATCACTACTAGAAATAGTAGGATTAACGACGATCAAGAAAAACTGTTGGTCGTTGAAAATGTGAGTGAATCCCCGCACAATGGAATCGGGCTACGAAATACCTTTAACAAACAACAGCACGTGTGCAGTCATTTTCCACTTATCCATGTGATATCTATTTGTACATAGATCAATCTAAGCTCACCCCCGCTTTTATCTCTCTTCCGTAACACAAGCTGGATTTTCCACAAGTCCTGGTGCATACTGTTGATAACATCCATCTGATAACCCTACGTGTAACAAGAAAAAACAAATCTGTTAGGATCCCATCCCGATGTGCCTCTTCTTCCTCTTCTCCCTTGTCTAATCCTCGGCGACTCCATCGATCCCATCTCCCTCATGGTCACCTGCGCCTCTCGACCCAAGCTCTCCTTGCTGCAGCCTGCATCATACCGGTCGCCCCGACATCGGTGCACCTTGCCACAGCCAGCACCTTGCCGGTCGCCTCGACCCCGGCACGCCCACACTGCAGCCTGCACCTTGCCATCTGCCTTAACCATGGCACGTGCAAGATGCAGTCTGCACACGTGAGGTAATTTTGGGATGTGTAGCTGCTATTCGTACAATTTCCGTTGCCTGTGGGTTGATATACGGGCCCGGATTCTGCCTCTGTTGGTCAATGATTTTAATCAACAAAAGGGCATTGGTACCATGTGAAAGGATTCATGGTCGGTGGTTTTTTACTTTTCGGTTTCATTCTGCTTTGGCTGTTGTACTAGTCTAGTCGTCCTTTAGAGTTCATTACTCTACTGATCTATCCGGTTAGACAATGATTTTATTCAAATACTCATGTATATCATTATGTGAGATATTGAACTAAGACGTCCATGGCTCTGTGCTTACCACGTGGTTTTAAAATGTTCTTTTTCTTATGATTGGTACTGAAACTACCTGCATCTAGCTAAAACTAACACGAGGGGTTACCTTGGTTACAAATTTGGAACTGGTTCGCATTGCTCATACAAAAGCACCTTATGAACTGCAACTAATTAATTTCTGCCTGTAATTCAACGTTTTGTTTTGCAGGGAAAAAGCGGGCATAACTAAGTAGCAACCCTCGTGAAAGCCAGCAAAATCTAGTAAGTTGTTCACATACACTTTCGTGCGATTTTTTTTACATACACTGACTTTTATAAATTATTCAACGTCTTGTAGATTTGATGGTCTACCATAAGTTATAGAAGCACTAGGAGGCATTGGAATCGCCAAAGTAGACATCCATGCCAACAATGATGGTGTCCCTCGACTCAAGATTAATATATTTTATCTTTTTAGTTTTCTCGTTTTCCAATTAGAGATGAGGAAGTACATCGGTCATCTACAGATAGATTTTGACTCATATTTCTTAAATGATAATTAATTTTAGTATTGTAGTTCGGAATTTTGTTACGTTATATTATTTCTATTAATAAAAAAGTGCATATATTCTTTCATTATTCAAAAATTTGTGGCTATATTGATTTGTATGTCAATCTTAGAATGTTGTATGATACATAGAGTGGTCGTCAACGATTCTAATGGTTGTTGAACATGAAGTTCTACAAAAACAAAAGTGATCACCATTTTAAAAACAAGTGGTAGCTAAAAATTAACCAAATAGTAGTAAAGATAGTGGTCATCAATAATATGACATGTCCATTAATGATAATTCTTTCACCACGGGAAAATTATTAACAAGGATAAAAGTGGTTCTTGATACTAGAAGTGTGGTCGTCGTTGCCTCAGGATTAACGACAACACACCATCCCGTCGTTACAAGAATAACGACCGGAAAAATACTTGTAGCGAC